ATAGCGGTGTGACCTAAAACATTGGGTGATCTGGTGATTTTTAACAGGTCTTCTGGGATATTACAGTTGATGATTATTTACATGTTACGATCATAGAGACTGGGATATTATCGATTTAAACTCCTAGTAATATATCATTCTCTTCCCATTGGTAGATAAATCATTGAGCTATCATTTGATTGGACAATAATATATCGCTCTAGCGTTTGATTGGCTGAGAATTTTACGCACGCTTCCTAATTCCTCGGTGTCTTGGATATCATATAATTTTGTCAATTACGAAAGAAAAGAGTGGTTTTAAACACTAGTATTAAAAATGAAACAAGTTATACGCGTAATGCATTATGTTCAAGAGGTGCAGGCCATATATCATTTTCATCGATTATCAAATGCAGGTCATAATTCATTATTTGTTGCGAGATATCTTCTAAAGGGTTTCCGTGTTGACGATCTCAGTCCTAGAGTGACATAAGGTGCGAGCATGAAACCTGAATCTGGAACTGCTAATAGGGGTTCGTTATTCAAGCCGAGACTGCTTTATGGTCCGTTACTGTTCTTGATGCGTTATTCAAGCTCAATCTGGTCTGTTGTTCGTTAATGTTCCTGGTTCGTTTGCGACCAAAGCACTGTTTCAGATACAAGTAGGCCTACCTCTGATCGGAGAAAGGGACATAACTCCCTAACTAACAGCGTAACAAAGAGAATTCAATGCACATGCACAGTAATTAAAATACTCTGGCCAATTATAATTTTAAGTACAAGCATAGCTGGCATTGGGCACATACGCAATTGGCATACGACGGGGATAGTAATCATACAATGCCCGATTTGAAAAGATGTAGTGTATCAGGCACACTTGATATACGAAAGGGAAATAACTCTTGTGCTTACTGTGTAAAATATGAAATTCAAACCCATCCGGAATGAACGACATAGTAATCAGACTATGAACAATTTGAAAAGACATTGGCTCCGGTACAAGCTTAGTTGGAAAGGGAAATAACTCATGCTTTTACAGTGTGGAACATTAAAATTCAAACACCACGATGTTGATTTCCATTCAATATACGTAAGGGAAATAACTCTTACTCTTTCTGTGTGAAAAATTGAAATTCGAACCAAGCCAGACTAAACGACATTCTTTTCATGGTTGAAATTGAAATATCTAACCAGGTACAAGCATATACGGAAGGGAAAAAACTCTTGAAGTTACAGTGTGAAAAATTGAAATTCGAATCCAAACAGATTGAACGACATTCTCTTCTTGGTTTAAATTGAAATATCGATTTTCAATTAATATATCAATTTTATCTCCACTACTTGTTGACAAAATTTAAAAATAATCAATATCATGTTTCAATGTTATAAACATGGTTGTTGTAAATAAATAATATCACAGGACATCGATCTTATTTTTATCAATTTAATTACAACATAAACTACAATGATGATCTCAAACTCTTTGTGAAAATAATCATGCAAAATTAAAGAGATTGAAAAGATGTTTTCTAACCTTTTAAAGGGACTGTAAAGAGGTTTTCTAAGGGAATCTGATATCAAATAGTACCGATTCGTATCATTCCAATTTTCAATCAGACGTATGTGGTTCCGGCAATTACCCGCAGCATTTAATGACGTTACTTATCCCGAAAGCTGCTAATAAAATTAGATTGGTGTAAATTGATGCTAGCAGTGACCCCGATACACATATTAAAACATTTTTCAATATTACAAAAGCACGTCTGTAACTTACCGTGGTTCGCTTTAGCAACTACGGACAAGTAATTAAGCTTTTTGATTTTACTGATTTTCAAACCCACCAAGCAACACGCTTCTTTGTACGGTTTATTTTGTAAATAAGGACACACACGCACAACTGGTAAGTAGGACTATTAAGAGATTTGGGGCAAAACCCCTTCTTTATGACAAAGTTCACCATCACTAACATAGCCTCTAATATCCACCATGCCTAAGCCTATGCAAGAAACCAGTTAGCGAGGAGTAGGTCGATTTCTAAGATATAATCAATTTTATCGTGGACTGTTAAGGGGTTAATAAAGCGTATATAATTAAGGAATATACTCCATACATACACTGTAGAACCCCACTTCCCCTCCCAACAATTTGCCGCCCTCCCCCTCAGTTACAACATATAGTAGTAGGTCGATGTCTAAGATCTAATCAATTTTATCGTGAACTACTAAGGGTTAACTAAGCGTATCTAATTAAAGAATATCCTCCATATAGCGCATCAATTGTTAATCACAATTAATACTCTTGTTAAATTAGAAGAAGAAAAGTAAAAAATCATGTAAGGTTTATTTGCTAGCAGTAATAACCATTAAAGGTATGAATGCGCCATTTTTTACTATTTACATATAGGCTGTTCAACACTCAAATCAACCCCCCAAATGGCACAACTGTCCCTTTACAGTGACAGTATGGGCAGATTTCTTGTTTTCTGGAAAAACGCATCTTCTCAAGATAAAGCTCTTATGCCTATACTTTGACTGCAATAACTACCTTTCTTATATCATGTGATGCAGCGATTTGATTGGATTGTACGCCATCGAATACAGCCAATAAGAGCCCTAGACAGAAAGAATGTAAACATTATGGCGAAGGCTCTGATTGGCTGTATTCGCTAACGTACAATCCAACCAAATAGCTGCATTTACAGACTTCCGTGATACAAAAAAGGTAGTTATTGCAGTCAAGACGCAGTTCGTAATACCATGACATCGTGAATACGTGGGTTGAAAGGGTTGCCATGGAAAAGTTGTCTAGTCGTTCGGATGAGACAATAAACCCAGGCCCTGTGCACTACATGTTGTGCACGTTAACGACCACTCGACAGTTGAAAATAGAATAAAACAAGACTCTTCGCAAATTCTTCCTCATTGTACACTTCCTGACACGTTCATTATCTCAAGTCAATCAGAATGAGATAATTCTTTTTATCATGGTCTAAGAGATTGGGTGAAAATAAGGTTTATGGCGACAGTTTGACAATTGATCTGTTTTTCGCAAGCTATTAGCGAAGAAATTGCATGTAATGTCCATCGAACAATGATTTAAGTGGTCTATAAACACAATTTTCACCATTAGCTGTTTCAAATCTTCATCATATCATATAGTTTCTAAACATTTTATCTATTAGCGTAACTGAAAGCTTTGATTTGCGTCATTCCAATTTTCAATCAGACGTCTGCGGTTCTTTAAATTCCACTAAATCTAGAACTATCGCTAAAGCAACTGGCAATTGGAATGCAAAAAGCTGTTAATAATAACCGAGGGACTTTGCGATAGTGACATCATAAAACGCTTAGTTTCATGTTAGTTAAAAGAACCAAAAATCTGAATGAAAATTGGAATGGTGCAAATCGATGCTATCATTGTCCCCAATACAAAAGAAAAACTCTTTACAATCCCTTTAAGATATCGATCTATTGGTTATTATATAACCTTAATCGATGATAAACATAAAATATATGTCCTAAAATCAATCCAAGTATAACCTTGATATTGGTGATCTGAATAAGGTGGTTCCCCTTATCGATTTTCGAATATTTGTTATTGTATCTTTAATCGGACGTTGACATGATAGTTCATGCAACTTGGGGTGGGCGTAGAGGGGCAGTGGCACAACTGGTTGAATGGGGACCCGTATACTAAAGTGGGTTGGGGCCTCTCCCCGGGAACTTTTTTTAAACATATACCCTCCTTTTATTCTCGGGATGTTCGTGGCGTAGACTAAGTTCAACCAGTCCCTGTGGTAGCTGAGCCAATGATTGACACAATGCGATTCTATATACATTAGATCGTTGAGGTTTAGACGACTACATTCCTTCAGATATTGAACTAAGATTCAACAAGTTTAGATAAACATCTAGGCATATAATTATTAAAAAAACCTGATATGAAAATGTTCTACCCTGATAAGTTCTAGAGACCACAACAATCTATATAGCACGTCTTGTCGATGTCAGAAAACATCAAGAGGCGATTCTATGGGAATGGGTGTTGGGCAGGCCCGCAGCAAGACTTTGAGGGGCAAGTAATATAATTATCCAAAAGGGCAATGGTGTATGGTGTTAAGTTCCAGTAATGCAATTAGTCGATTGTCAGGAATTTTCCTGAGGGGGGAGGGGGGGGGGCAATCCTTTTTTTCGGGGGCCCCCACCTCTCCCTCAACACACACACACCTCCCTTACTTACGAAATTTCTTTTCATTTCACCAAAGGAAAGAATTGCCACTCTAACACTGCATCAGATCGGCTGTGGCTTAACCAGCCATGTCAGTCTTGTGTGGACTAAGGGAAGTAACTCTATTCAGGATATTTATCCAAACTGCAATTAAATGACTTTTCGGAATTTTTTCCGTTGATGCAAATGCCCATTCTTTAACACTTACAGACACTTTATAGATAAACCTTTATAGATAAGCCTACTGTTTAATGTCTTTGAATGCAATGGACCTAGTTCCGAGCAAATTTAAACTGAGGCCTATATAGGCTACTAAGTCTAATCTTTCATCTTTGTTGCTTTCCTTCAGAGTAAGCTACCTCCGTCACAATTTACCACATAAGGTACAGAAAAATAGGACATAGAGCTCTATTTCATTTCATGTTATATCTAAACGAATTCGGTTCATTAATTTTGTCGATTACTCACATTCCCGTGTCCATTAATAATAGGCACAACGCATTGAACGCAGCTATTACGAAACTAACAAATCGAGCACACCATGTGTGTGGACTTGCTTTTAAATTCAGAACTAAGAGTCGCCGAGAACATTACTCCAAAACAAAGCTTGCGATTATCATGCTATCTCGCATATGAATTTCACAATCAATTTTTAAATTAGTCACTAAACATCATGACTTGTGAAAAAATAAAATATACGGTACATTAAATTTTGTAATAACTTTTTCGACCCGGGTGACCCGGTGCAAGCACCTTTCGACCCTAGAGTCGAGTGGAAATTTCCAGAAGTCATTCAATAAATCAAGTTCGGCAAAAGTTACAAGTTGGGACAATCTCATGAAAAATGGAATCTGCAGGCCAAGTAAGATAGATTATTCCATATTGTACCTTAACGGAAATGTAACAGAAGGTCCTTTTTCATAGAAGGCAGTGAATTAGGACGATTATCGAATTTTTGAAACTGAAACTAAACTTGCAACATTTGTTCTACTATCAACAATGTCATCAGGATTTCAACAAATTTTCTTTGATTTTGTTTTTTTTTGAGTGGGGCGTGTCTAAGAGGCTAATACATTCTCTGCATATTGCCCTTAATCTTTGGTAAAGTATCCAATGTGCATTTTATTCATATCTTGTCGTGATATGAATAGCCATTGGGGCATTGAGTGAAGAAAATATTTATTCTCCAGCCAAAGAATTGCACTGAGCACAAATTGTAGGCCATTATCCTTAGAATACCTTTTTGGGTCCAAAGAAATATCAGTTTTGAATAAACACATTCCCTTCCCAGAAATTTCTTGTAAAAGCTACTGTACTCAGTGAAAATTCTCTTGTGTAAAATCAAATAGATTACAAGACATATTGTATTTGATTTGAATTGAATTCCAGGTTGTTTCAGCCTTCAATGGTAGAGTAATTAAGGAACCTCGTGGCTTCATCAAAGTTATAGAATGGGTAAGAGATTCTCACAAAATGGATTTAATAAGCCATAAATATAAAATGATTTTGAAAGAGTGGTTGGGGATGGGGGCAAAGCAAAAACCCTTTCTCAAATTCAGTATCATTTTATATATAGGAAAGAAGTGCTTATGAGACCCTCCTTGGCAAGTATGTGACCCTTAGTCGGGCATCCATCTATGTCCAAACAGAATATTATGTTTCAATTGCAAAAATCATTTGAATTAAAAGGTCAGATTTGCCATCTGTTTGACCAGTTGTACCTTAGAAACAGGAATTTGTAGCTTAGCTAATCAGTAACAGCGTTCAAAACTCACTGTTGAAATTTGAGCCTTCAAGTTCATGTGTGTACACATTATCTGTGTTTGAAAGTTAAAATGACCCAAATCAGCCCCTGAAAATGGTGAAACATGGCCTTAAATGTCTGCACAAATTTAGTATTGATTTAAAATTTCAATCTTTTCACCTTAAATTATTTTTGTTGTTGTAGATTTTAGCAATTTTTGCCTTTGCCACTACCACATCATTTAGTTCATCCACAATATTCAGAGTTAATTGTGAACCACCTAAAACAGTCAAATTTTCATATAGTTATCCTTTTGAGTAAGTTTCCCCTCACTTTTTATTCCTTTTTTGTTTTTATTTTGTTTCTCTGTAGATCCCAGATGGAAGGCCTTATTCTCGAAATCTTTCAAACATTGCTTTCAGTTATAAAACCAATCAGATGATTGAATCACAAAAATCATCTTGAGTTAAGTTTAGGAGAATAAGGCCCATGTTTGCCCATGGTTGCCCATGGTTGTCCATGGCTGTCAATTAAATTTAAATAATCTCATTTTTAGCCAGATATACTGCAGAAAAGTAGGGAAAAATAAGTCCCACGAGTCGAGTTAGGCAGCTTAACTATCAACCATTCTTCGAGCATGGTTTACTCTTTTTTGGTGAGCATTCAGACGGTCATAAAAGTTAAGCCAACTTCAACATTACCTTGGAAATTATCGGGAAGTTCAGAGGTCATAATGCCATTACGCATGTGCATTATAACATCTAGGTATTAATTGTTTAGATGAATGTGCACGGGCAGATATGACATATCCGTCTTAATGTTATCCAGAAGCATTCAGACAACAAAACTAAGCTGGCTTAACTATTCAAGCCAGGGTTTAAGCCACCTTTGATGTAGGTGCAACTAAAGGTAGCTTAAATTGAACTGGTCATGTTCAGACAACTAAAAAAAAACTGTTTCGAAGAACTGTTCATAGTTAAACTACCTTAACTTTAGTTGTATGAACGCACATTCAAAAGTAGCATGGACAAAGCCTATTCCACACAACCTTGGCTTTTCCTCATTTTGAATATGGGTAACTTGTTATCTATATTTGTATGTTACTGCGAGTGGTGGAGCCAGGTTTATGTCAGAGGAAAGGTGAAATATCTGAGATTGCCCGAATTCAACCTAGTTACGAGATTTTAGCCCGAAAAACTTGCTTTCAGGGCTGCGAGGGGGGACAACTGACCCCTCTAAAATGAACAAATAATTACTTATCTTAAGGATTACAAAAATTGTTTTCAGTCTCCACGAGATTACATTTACAGTACCAGAATCCTGCGATAATGGAACCACGAAGACTCAACAAGTCCATCTACTAGCAGGAGCCACGGCGCCTGCTCAATTCTATGTATTTGTTGGAGTCATTGTATTTTTATACTGTATGGCAGCCTTGGTTTTGTATATGTTTTTTGATGATATGTATAGACGTAATACACGAATGGTGATCGGAGTAAGTTATCATTTTTATTGCATGCCTCTTGAATCTCGAATGGCTGTATATTACTTTTTAAACGCCATAGTCTTATTAAAATAACCGTAGACCAACTTTCGTTCTGTTTTTTTTTTATGTTTAGTTTTTATTTTTAATATATCCACTTCTGGTACGATCTAAAGACAGCCCTCTTGAATGTTTGTCAAATCAAACTTTTAACTTAAAAGATGGGTTCTCTAATTTTTATTGATGAAAATGACAATGCTAATACTTATAAGAATAGAAAGTAGAGGTGTTCTCATGACTTGGAAAAATACCAGTTTGTCTAACATGTCCATAATTAATTCATAATTAGCTTAATTAGAAGAGAATTACCAGCAGAAGTCCAATGAGTGACCGATCAAGAAAGGTCAAAAAGTCTTTTTTTTTTGTTTATCCAGACTGTACATCTTTAACTTGATGAGCCTGCTTAAAACCAATCAAATTTGTACCCTTTCCAGCACTGGTATTTTTTGCCACAGTGTTTATAATATAATTTATTATTAATTAATAAGTTTTTGTAGGATTATCCAGTATTATTTTTCAGGTCTTCAGGAAAAATAGACCTCATTGCACAATGCATGGTATTACTCCTCTGCATCAGCTCATATCAGAAAGTAGGATGGAAACTATTACATTATAATTGCTCATGGTGCAAAAAGGGTTGGTGTAAAACTCCATTTCAATATCTATATATTTATTGTAGGATTTTATAATCTCAGTGGTTTTGACAATATTATGGTTAATTTCTGCGTCTGCCTGGGCCCAGGGTGTGACAGACGTAAAGGAATATACAGACCCTGTCGACAGCAATATGTTTGGGAATGACAAAATCATCGCTGTTTGTGGCCCGGTTGGCGCATGTGAAAATGTACAACTCGGCAACTTTGCTGGCCTCAATGTATCGTTGGTGAGTATTTTTTCTCATTTCCTCAATAATGGCTAGTACTGACACCAGTGGTGGAGTCAAAGAGGGGGGTAGAGGGGTCATTTCATGTGATGAAGTCATCTTGACGACAACAAAATCTCAGAGAATAAAATACTTAAGTCACTCCTAAAAGTTGTCTTCATAATTCTACATCATAGAGTGATACAGCATTCAATTTAGCTTCTGGCATTATTACAGCACACCTCATAAACAAACAAAATGGAGACATTAGACATTATGGTAATACCCTATATATATACTTTGTTTTTTTAGATTTTTGGCTTCCTGAATTTTGGTGTATGGGTAGGAAATCTATGGTTTCTGTTTAAGGAAACCCCCTGGTTTAAAGGATCTTCCGAGCAAGCAGAACCTGAAACCCCTTATGCACCCTCGTCTATGCCCCCTAATTCCAATATCTAAGTTATTTAGATTTTTTAAGTTCGCTTTTACACTTTAGATCGATTTGAAAAGTAAGACGTTGTTGAGTTTGGAACCTGAGAACATCTTAAATGTATAAGTTGCAAATAAATTTAATTTTAGAATATGAACGCTAGGGCTGCAAGGATTCTTGAAGGTTCAATCCAATACACTATAAAATACACCAGTATACGATTTATTGCGATAATAATCGCGATTCATTTATTAGAGAAGGAAAGAGAAAAAATAGAAATTTGTAAAATGACTAACAAGTTTGTCACTATTAAACACTTGAGAACATTAAGAAGGAAGGAATTGTGAAAAAATAGAAATTTTTAAAGTCAGAAATAAATTTTTGCAAATTTTGATGTGAAAATCAAATACATTATACATTCTTAATATAAGGATTCTGTGTTATTTGTTTTTAAAGTGGGCTAAGAATTAATCGTGCCGATACATCACGATTATTTTTATCCAACATCAATAAGAAGGAAAGAATATCGCTTCATTGATTCATCGGTGAATCGTTGCAGCCCTAATGAACGTAATAATGTTTTGAAAACTGGTGTAAATTTCAATAAAGTAGTAAGTAGCAAGAAATCCAGCTTTATTGAAATTATGGAAAATCTCTCTCTTTTATGCATCATCTGAAAGCAAGGGTGCAAATATAAATTTTACGTTTTATTTTTCTGATATCTACCGCTAAAATATTTTGTTATGATGTATTTTGTTAGTTTTAAGTGGGTGCTTGAAATTTTGGAATCTTTGATGTTTTGGTTAGAAATGGTAACTTTCATAAAACCAAATTTATATTGGGCCCAGGTCAACAGTGATCATTTGTGAACTCTTATTATTGGTGAATCTGAGAGCAATTGCACTTGAAAGAAGAACATGAGTAACTGAAGGCATCTGGTAGCAATGGTTTTTCAGCTGTCTGTTTACTCAGGTCAGCTATCTGTTTGCTTGGGTAAGCTGTCTGTTTACTTGGATAAGCTGTCTGTTTGCTTTTTACTCAGCAGGTCAGCTGTCTGTTTACTCAGGTCAGATTTCTGTCTACTCGGGTCAACTGCCTGTCTACTCAGGTCAGCTGTCTGTCTACTCAGGTCAGCTGTCTGTTTACTTGGGTCAGTTGTCTGTTTACTCGAACTCAGATCAGCTGTCTGGTTGAGTGAGTCTAGCGTTTGATCTGATTATCTCATTCTTATCATTTGTGGTCATATTCTGATTACAAATTCAGTTGCTCTCAGAGGCTCGTAGTTGGTAGATAGACGTAAGATCTCTTATTCCTGTGACGTATTCAAACTTTCATGTCATTAGTTTTGTTATTGTAAAGTAAACTTGTTAGATCATATAGATTATTAAACTATATATAATTATAATAATGGTATATTAAAGCTATGGTGAAATGTTAAAAAAAGATTTGGTCCTTCAAAAAAAACACCTTTAATTAAACATGGAATTTAATATTTTTTTTGTGAATAAATGTTAAAAAAAAGTAGAAAAATGTCTTTGAAAACACTCATACATTTTTATAAATTGATTGGCTTTTTATGACTTAGCGAAACATATCAATAGTTGCCATATATCTTTGATTTGAACCTAATTCAATTTTATTTCCACTGCATGATAGCTTTAATATTTATGTAACTGAGGTGAGTGAATTTGTCAATGTTGGTGTTCTTTATAACCATGCTGCTGCTGTATCTATCTATCTATATATATATTGTGTGAGGGATGGGGGTAATTCTTGATGCTTTGTGTTAAATATGTTATTTATTAACCCTTTGATTCCTGAGTGTAAATAAAATATGTCATATACCCTGAACTCTAAGTAATAATAGTAAAAGCGTATGACGTTAACGTTGTATGACGTCACTTAGTAACAGCTGGTATACCGTCTGCTTGGGTATATATTGCTTAAGTGTATAGCCGGTAAACTTGCCTCGAGGGTTGAAAGGGTTAATCTAGATTAATGAGCGAATTTGGATGGTTAGTACTTGGTTTATTTGTTCCAAAGCCATCATAATGTTTGGTTTTGGTGTGAGCTATCCAAAATGGAAATTGAGGCTTAATTTTTTTTATTCATTTCTATTGTTTTTTTTTTTTATTAAAATTAAGATCACAATGGTGCCCTATAGATATCAGGGATACAAATTTGTTTTACATAAATTTCTTTTGTTTCTTTTTTAATTATTTTGAGCTATGCAGTGAATTTTTGTAATTATTGATGTGTATATTATGAATAATTTTGGTCTATTTGTACCTGAATACTTCATGGTTTCCTTCCGATTTTCTACCAATTCTTTATAAATTCAAATTTTGTTAAAATGTTATTAACAGCTTGTAAATATTAAATCCTTTTCATTTTAAGTTGAATTTAGTGAACTTGTCATGCCAATTTGGTGCTCCAAATTGTTGTGGACAAAACATTTTGGTGTTTCATTTGAATTAATTTATCAATGAAAGTTGTATTCAATTTGCTCCATTAAAACTTTCGTGCCGATTCTAAAACTGCCTAGATGGTCATATCTGGAATAAAATTTTCAAGAAAGATTCATTGCTTTTGACATATACTTATTTACCATTCCATCTTTTTCAACCTAAATGATCTCTAAACTATCTAATGCACTTTTGCCCTGTCTTGATTTTTTTAAGGTAGTTTGTGAACAGGACCGTGATTTGATGTCCCAGATTATTTTTGAAAGATACTATCTTGTCATGTTTAATCAACAAGTTGGCTGAACACAGACATCTATATATTTCACAGACACTATGTCTTGTTTTATCAACAAGTTGGCAAAACACAGACACCGATATATTTCAGCAATTTGGCAAGACATACATTAAGTCTTGTTTAATCAACAAGTTGGCTAAACATAGACACTAAGTCTTTTTTTTATCAACAAGTTGGCTAAACACAGACACCAATATGTAAGAAAGTTACCGTAATATAATTCAATCCAAGTCCTGTTTACAGAGACACTGTAATCAGCAAGTTGGTTAAACAGAGTCACTGTAATCAGCAAGTTGGTTAAACAGAGACACTGTAATCAGCAAGTTGGCTAAACAGAGACACTGTAATCAGCAAGTTGGCTAAACAGAGACACTGTAATCAGCAAGTTGGTTAAACAGAGTCACTGTAATCAGCAAGTTGGTTAAACAGAGTCACTGTAATCAGCAAGTTGGCTAAACAGAGACATTGTAATCAGCAAGTTGGCTAAACAGAGACACTGTAATCAGCAAGCTGGTTAAACAGAGACACTGTAATCAGCAAGTTGGTTAAACACAGACACCATTTGATTCAAGATAAGTAGTCTTGATTTATTTCTCATTATATACAAGTGCCTTTGTAATCTCAACCATAGCTTTTTATAATTTGTAAATTTGAGGGTTGTTTCTCATGGCTTTTTATGAATTTGAAGGTTGTTTCCATCTCATTACCAGCATTATGAATATTTATTTCAAATATATAAGATTTAATATTATCTTAACTTAAAGCTGGACTGAATTGAGAAAAAAGGATCTCTGTTTTAATTGAGCTCCAGTGTACAATGTGGTATAGGCCAAGTGTTTATCTGAGCCACTTTTTTTCAACATCAGTCCAGCTTTAACCCTTTGAACACTGAGTGTGAATGAAATTGAAATGTCATATACAGTGAACTTCAAGTAATGTGACTTGTATGGCGTTCGTTAATATTATGCGCTGTCACTTGGTAAAGCATTCCAACAGCTGCTAAGTTACTATATCACTTAATCATTGTCACTTGTCTGTTTACTCAGGTCAGCTGTCTGTTTACTCGGGTCGCTGTCTACTACTAAGCGCTGAAAGAGTTAAATAGCTTCACCATCCGCTCACTGGTATATTATATATCACTTAATTATGTGGCTGCTAGAGCATAAAAGGATTAGTGTTCAAAGGGTTAAGCTGCCATATTTGTTACAATTATCCTAGATTAATCTTTGTATTCATGTTAACCATTAATTATTGTTGTTTGTCTTTAGATTCTATATTTACTCATTAAAGTATTTATAAAATTGTATACCTTGTTGTTCTAGAGTTAGCATATACTCATGGGAGGGGAGGTTAGAGAGGGGTTGCCGTTAGGTTACCCCAAAACCCTAGAACCTTGTATTCATGCTAGCCTTCAGGTTATAGATTCATTGGAAGAATGTAAATCTTGAATTCATGAGGTTTGCTAACCTGGAGGTCCAGCGTGTAATCCCAGCACGGGTTGAAATAATATAAATTCAGAATTTTCAACCTGGTTTCCCCCTGTCACTGATGAAAGTTGGAAGGGCTGACATGAAAAAAAAAACCTTATGGGATAGAACAATAAATTGAGGTCTGATATGCACAGGTTATGAATGTTAAAGATCTATCCACATTTGGAAATACTCAATAAAGCTAAGCTCTACAGGGATCTGGATATCCCTGGGGAAAATAATAAAAACATCATGAAAGACTACATAAAACATGTATTTCTGCAGGGTTCAACCAACCAAGCAAAGAGAAAAATTAAAAGAATACATGTATTTTTATCACATTTAGAGAATTAGCTGGCAACCATTTTTCATATATTAAAAACATGTTAACTTTCGTCATTATCAACTTCATTGGATTTTATCCACACACTGAGAACTATTCACAAAGATAAAGCACGAATATACAAAAACTTGATAATCTTACTCAAACAGAGGGCATTATGAATGATGATAACTGTGCAATAATGAAAACAATAATAATGCATTATGAATGTCCACCCGACAAAGCATTATGAACATAATTTCTATCACTTGTATGGAATAAAGCTAAATTCATAATGCATTATGAATGTCCATCTAAATCGCTGATAAAGCATTATGAACATAATTTCTACCACTTGTATGGAATGTAAGTTCATAATGCATTATGAATGTCCACCAAACTCTGATAATGCATTATGAACATAATTTCTATCATTTTTAAGGAAATAATTTAAGTTCATAATGCATTATGAATGTTCACTTTGATCATTGATAATAAATGACCATAATGCATTATGAACATAATTGTAAACTTAGAATAACAATAATGCATTATGAATATGAATTAATTTTCACATTTAATAATCCATTATCAATACCCATTTCAAGGGAAATATTAGAATAATAATAAGGCATTATGAACATTTAAATATATCCACAGGGCAATATTAGTTTCATAATGCATTGTGGAATCATAATTCATAACTATTAAGGATACAAAAAAAAAGGAATTATAATACACTATATACAAGAATTTCATCTACATCCTTTAACCCTTTGCACAAAATAGTTCAGATTCTATACTTCTATCAAATTAACCTCTACACCTTTAAGAACATACAGCAGTTTGCAATATTGCCCACTTTTTCACGTTCAAGACCAAATCATATAAAATATGCCTCATTAACCACTCTGTTTGAGTAAGATAAACAAGAAACCCTAGGATATAATTTTACAAACTTTAGAAGTTTGAAATTATTAATATTAATAATAATGATAATAATAATAATAATGCAATAATAATAATGTTTGTGTTATGTACAAAAATAGCTTACAGCTAACGTATTAATTATTATTATGTATTAAAAAAACATAGATATTCATTGGAAAATAACAAATGATAACAAGGGCTGGAGAATCAGATTAATACAAAAAAAGTTTGCATTCAATTTCAAAAAAGACAATTACATTTATGTATCTTAACTATGTATGAAATCAAATCAAAGGGATACATGTGTATCTTAAATATGTGTGAAATCAAATCAAAGGGATACATGTGTATCTTAACTATGTATGAAATCAAATCAAAGGGATACATGTGTATCTTAACTATGTATGAAATCAAATCAAAGGGATACATGTGTATCTTAACTATGTATGAAATCAAATCAAAGGGATACATGTGTATCTTAAAAAACACGTATTTGTATTGTTATCCTAATATCTACTTGTAACAAAAAATGTAAAATTTTCTTTTTTAGATAGATGACTTTGTTATCATTTGTTATTTTCAAAAGAGCCAAAAACACATCCTGCATCATCATTTGGTTGGAACCAAGCATAAAACAGCAGCAGTTTCGTTGTGAATCGATGATAACAATTAACATTTTAGGAAATACAATAATCCATATAATCTAAATTTAAATTCTGGAAATTTGGAGTAACGGCAAGTTAACCTC